TTACTCCAATCCACATTTTTCATATAATCCAGTTTCTCAGATTACTTGCTCAACGTATAGACTGAATAAGTAAGGTAAAAGAATACAACCACGGCACTTACTTTTCCTAATTTTAAACCATTCATTGTTCCCTTTTGCTGTTTGAACAGCTGCCTCTTGGTCTACATACAGGTTCCTCAGAGCATAATTAAGTGTTCTAAATCCTTATTGTCTGTGATGTTGTCCATAACTTGTCATGTTCCGCACAATTGAAAGCCTTTGCACAATTAATAAAGCACAGGTAAACATCTTTTTGGTATTCTCTGCTTTCAGCCCAGATCCATCTGATGTTATCAGTGATATTTCTCATTCCATGTCCTCTTCTGAATGTGGCTTGAACCTTTGTAAGTTCTCTGTCAATGTATGGTTGCCCCCATTTTTGTGTTATCTTTATCAAAATTTCACTTGCAGACAATATGAATGATATGTCCAATATGATGGTTTCCACATTCCGTTGGCCACCTCTCTTTGGAATAAACACAAATAAGTAACTCTCCTTATTTTGTCCAGGTAGTTGTCTTCCAAATTTCTTGGCATACATGAGTGAATACCTCTAGTACTGAATCTGTTTGTTGAAAGATTTCAATTTATATTCCATTAATTCCCAGAGTTTTGTCTTTGCTAACGCTTTCAATACACCTTGGACTTCTTCCTTCAGTATCATTGGCTCTTGATCATATGCTTGAAATGGTTGAACATTGACCGATGATTTGTGCATTCATTGGGTCACCTCTTTTGGAATTCACACAGATATGGCTCCTTTACAACCAGTTGGTCAAGTAACTGTCTTTCAGATTTCTTGACATAGACTACTAAGTGCATCCAGTGCTGTTTATCAGTTTATTGAAGCATTTCTATTGTTATCTTCTTAATTCTTGGAGCCTTGTTGTTTTCTAATGATTTCATTGCAGCATGGACTTCTTCCTTCAATACCATCACATCTTAATCTTATCTACCTCTTGAAATGTTTCAAAACTGACCAATTATTTTTGGTATAGTGACTTTGTGTATTCCTTTCATCTTCTTTTGATCACCTGTGTTTTTCAGTGTTGTGCACAGTCTTTCTGTATTGAAAGTTCAAGTTTGAATATTTTCATCAGATCTTTCAACTTGAATGCTGAACATATTCATCCTTTTTGTTTTACTAATTACAGGTCATTGCATATTTCATTGTAATAATTTTGTCTATTTGAGCTATCCTTTGAGTTTTCTGTTCAGTTCTTTTACTGCATCCTTTCTTCCATTATCCTCTTGTTCACTTTATTTATGTTCAAGAGCAACTTTCAGAGTTTCTTGTGACATTTGCTTTGGTCTTTTCTTTCTTTCCTGTTAATATTTAATTTTTTATGACCGTTTGCTTTGTTTATGTATGATGTTCTTAAAATCATCTTACAACTCCTCTGACTCAATTATTGGTATTCAATACATCAAATCTATTCTTGAGAAGGCCTCTAAATTCAGGTGGGATATATACTCAAGGGTGTATTTTTGTTCTCGTGGATTTGTTTAATTTTCTTCATCTTCAGCTTCAAGTTACGTAATTGGTAGTCTTTTCCACCAGCTGCTCCTCTGAAACCCTATACAGGGTCACTATGAGTCGATGACACTTCACTATATTTATATGAAGTCCTGATGTGGCACTGTAAGATAAACACTGGACTGCAAGTTCAGTTTGAACCACATGGTCAACAGTTCAAGCTCACTAGCTTCTATTTGGAAATCCTATATAGAGTTGCTATGTGTTGGAACTGACTGATGGTACTTGATAACAACAGTATTATATATATATATAATACACACACACGTGTGTGGTTTGACCACATGGTCAGTGGTTCAGGCTCACCAGCCACTCCTCAAAAACCCTATACAGGGTCTCTATGGGTAGGAATTGACTCCATGGCATTTAACAACCACACACATACACACACACACACACATATATGGAGCTCTGTTAGCATAGTGGTAACGAATCCAGCTGCTAACCTCAGGGAGAGCAGTTCAAAACTACCAGCTGTTCCACAGGAGAAAGATGAGGCTTTTTACTCCTGTAAAGATTTATAGCCTCAGAAACTCTGTCCAGGGTCGCTACGAGTCGGAACCGACTCCACGGCACATAACCACCACCACTATATATGCCTGGTGTGGAGCTGTAGGGTTAGCACAGACTGCTAAATGTAAGGTTGGCAAATCAAACCCACCAGCTGTTCTTTAAAAACCTTACATAGTTTCTCTATGATGCAGAAATGACTTGACAGTACTTAACAACAACATATATATATGAGTCAGTTCGTACTCATAGAACCCTTATAGGGTTTCTGAGGAATGGCTGGTGAGTTTGAACCAGGTTCCTGCCCAATCCTGTGCCATCGTCAAAATTGCTACTACACTTGAGACCATTGTTGCTGTCACTGTGCCAATCCATCTTGTTGGAGTCTTTCTCTTTTTGGCTGTCCCTCCTCTTTACCAAAAATGCTTTCTAATCTGAGGAGCTCAACTTCCAGCACTATATCTGACAATATTCTGGTGC